CCGCCCCTTTGTCTGAGCGCGGCGCGGTCGGTCCCCGGGCTCCCGGGCGGGAGCGCTGCGGGCCGGCTGAACGAGGACGGTCCCAAGCAGCGCGCGATGCGCTCGCCCCCGCCGCCTCCAGCCCCGCGTAACGCGGCACACTCGGACCAGCCCGGGTCCCGGCGGCCGGCGCTGAGCGGGGAACGCAGGACCCTCGGGCTCCCGCCCTCCGCGCCCCGCGCATGCGCCCCGCGGCCCCTGTGCGGGTGCTGGCGGCTTGCGGCGCGCAGCCACGTCCTCTCGGACCCTGCGCCTCGCTCCCGCAGACTCAGCAGGTTGGGCGCCGGTAGTCACGGGCCCTGCAGTGGACGCTGCACGCGCCTAGCTCTACTCCCCTCCCGCTTCTAGCAAAGGGCAGTGGCGCGCTCTCGGGCGGGGACCTGGGACGAGACCTGGGACCCGGGTCTGCGCTGCTGCGTGAAACTAGGACCCTTGGGGCGGCTGTCAAGCGGTTGGGAGGGGGACAGCCTGGGCTGATGTTGCAAGGCCCTGGGGCACGGGGTTGGAGCTGAGACCTTTCAAACACACATTCCCAAGAGATGAAAGGGCAGTCTAGGCCTGGCCGTAACCTTCCAGGACTCCAGGACGCAAAGTGAGTCGCGAAGGATCCCAAACGGCCTCTGATCCCTGCAGCACCCCCACTGCCCAAATGTGAACCAAGGGCCCAGACGGCCAGTGGCTGCTTGGCCAGCCAGGCGACACAGGTCATCACCAGTGTGCAAGGGGCCAGGCAGGAAGGTAGAGGGACAGTGGGATCACACTGTCACTCACCTGGTAGACACCCTCCCAGGCCTCTTCTGCTAATGAGATGTCCTTCCCCGCGCCTGTGCCCATCCTCAGGTCTGGGCTGTCCCTCCCACTGGTGCCTAGTTTGGGAAAGCAGCGCAGGTGAGGCCGGGGAGATGGCTCAGTGGAATAAGCGCTTCCCTGACAAGCGCAAGGGCCTGAGTTCAATCCCCGGTTCCGCCAAAAAAAAAAAAAAAAAGAAAACAAAGAATGCAAAGCCTCCGACTGAGCTTTCAGGGCGTGGTCAGAGGGTGCGCACCTGCTCCCCCGCGTCACCCAGGAGGAAACTGAGGCTTGGGGACCGAGGATTCCTGTAGCCTAGTGTTACCCCACCCCACCTAGGTGCCTGTTCAGGCCTCCATGGACACCTCAGAGGCTGAGGGAACCCTGCGGGATCATATGGTCAGGGGGACATGGAAGTTCGAGGGTGCCCCACAGGGTTGGGAATCAGGAAAGCAGGGAGACCACCGCCCAGGAGCTCCCGACAGGGTCAGAGTCAGCCCTGGCCTGGATGTCAGGGGCCCTTATACGACCTCGAAGCAGTGATCTTGCCCACAGACCCTGCTGGCTCCTACCAACCCACCGTCATCCCAGACTCCGAAATCGGGCAGTCTAGGACTGGAGCAAGGCCTCATCTCATCCAACCCTGGGAGGGCAGGGCAGGGAGGTCATGTCCACATGGATGGGAGGAGAAAGACCAAGGCACCAGAGCCCTGGGAATGGAACTTGGACAGAGGTGGGCGGAGGGCTGGGGGAAAAGGCCTTTAGGAAGTAGGAAACAGAGCCCAGGAGACAACAGGAAAGAGAATCAGGGCTGGTCTAGAAGGGAGAGAGTACCACGACCCAGAGGGTTTCAGACTTCAGAGGAGACTGGGTCAGCAGATGGTAATTTCCCCAAGCAGACTAGACTCCCAGGTAAAGGTGCCCTGCACCTTCAAAGCAGCCATGGCCATCCCCTGGGGCAGAAAGCAGGTCCCTTGTCACAGGGTCCCTACCCCACCACCCAGCCTCTACAGAGGAAGGAGAAAGAAGGCGGTCAAGAGGCCAGGCAGGAGCTCAACAGAGAGGCCCACACAGCCTGGCAGCAGAGGCACAGAAGGTGCTGCTCATGGCCAGCTCCAGCCAAACAGCCTGCAGTGGTGAGAAGGGTACATGGGGTCTAGGACAGGTGGCTCCAGACCAGAAGAGCCAAGAGTAGGGACTCAGCAGTGGGCACGGAAGGACCAGCAGGAACCCTGCTGTGGAGCCGGCTGTCGCGGCCCAGGACAGACTGGCTTTCTCCTCTGCCTGACCTATGGTATAGCTCAGCCAGGCTCCAAACGGGGTCCACTTGGCCTGGGCAGCAAACATCACCTGCCCCACCTGGTCTGGAGACACCTGGCTTTTCATGTCCCTGGTGGGTCCCTTCCTCTGCTGTCCACTCCTGGGCCATAGGGGCCTTGCCCAGCACAGCCTCCTCTCCCAGGTGTCCCCATCTGTGGCCTCATGGGCCTTGCTGACTTGCACCCCGTCCTGCTGGCTCTGTTCCCAAACACACTAGGAACCCAGCTCGCCTCCCTCTGCTCTCCCTCTTGTATGTATTCTTACAGAGGCCACAGTCCACCTCAGCCATAGCCAGAGTGGCCTGTCCAGTCCTAACTTCTGCTTGCTCCAAACCCTGAAGGAGGCCAGACATGGCACCTTTCATCCTAACGCTGGGCACCTGAGATGGATCGGAGGATCACAGCTCAGGCCCAGCCTGGGTAATTTAGTGATTTACTGAGATCCTGTCTCAAAATTTAAAATATAAGGATTAAAGATATAGTGCAGGGGACTGGGGAGAGGGCTCAGCGGAATAAGCGCTTCCCTGGCAAGCATAAGGACCTGAGTTCAATCCACGGTTCTGCAAAAAAAAAACCCAACAACAAGATATAGTGCAGTGTTAAGCCCCTGGGTGTGGCCAGAAGACAGAAACTCCCCACCTTCCTCCTGACCACCTCCAGCCCCAGCTCCCTGGAGCCCATGGGCCCCTGCAGGTGGGCAGGAGCATGCCCAACAGCCTCTTGAGGCCGCCCCGTCCGTCAGCCTGACTGGCCCTCACTCCAATCTCAGGGTTCCTGGAGAGACCCTTGCATATTCTGCCCATGTCACATGCTGTCACGTGCTGTCACATGCTTTACGGTTAACTGGCCACAGGGTTAACAGTCCAGGTCCTCCCCAAGTGCTGCACAGGGAGTGTTTATACTGCAAATGCTCCTGTGTGAATTTACCGCATCTGGTGGCACACACCTAGATCAAGGTCTGCATTTCCCACCTACCCTGCTGTGGAACTTGCCTTGGGTTCCCACCACATTCGTCAAGACAGCCTGGGCAACTTAGAGAGACGCGCCATCAACAGAAGTAAGATGTGGCCCATCCTCCCATGTTCATTCCCATCTCAGACAGGCACAGGCAGCCACGGAGGCAGGGATGAGTGAACACCAGGACGGACTGGGCTCCCAGGGCAGTGTGCAGCAGAGGCACCTGGGACAGCAGCACAGAAGCCTAGTGTTGAGATGGAAGCCCCAAGAGGCCACACGTCTGCCTGAGTCCACCACCGCGGCTGGGCCCTCCTAAGTGCTGGATTTGTCTCTAGCAATGTGTGTGCCTTGTGCTGACAAAAGCTGCCCACTTCCAAAAGCAATTGTGTGGCAAACACAGAAAAGGAACTATCCATTGCTTCACCTGGAGCCCACCTGCCCGGCACTGTGTGCAAACGTGCACAGGGACCAACTCATAGCCAGCTAGCTGTCCCTGAGACCAGGCAGGACCAGCCAGTGCCCACCCACCCTCTTCCCAGTCAATTGTCTCCCCAAAGCCCCAGGCTCCAGGGAGTCCCACTGCCGCTGTCCGCAACCCCAATGCAGAGGAGTCTTGAGGGGCTGGAGATGTCTGGCCAGTGTCTGCAGAGGACAGGCAGGCTGGGGGTAGGACTGAAAGGGTCACGCCCAGGGCCTGCCGAAGCAGGACCACCCCCAGCATATACAAGGGTGCAATGAGCACAGGATGATGCTGGAGGCCTCTCCACATGGACAGCCACGGAAAACAGGGCCCAGAGACACCCAATCAGGATTCCTGGGGAATGCAAGGAACGCTGGTGGTCAGAGCAGGGAGACAGGACACAGGCTATGGGCAGAGTTTATTGACAGACGACAGCATGGGCTGGGGTGGTCAGCGCCCAGCTGGCCAACAAGCACACAGGGCCCGGCGGTCAGCCTGCAGCAGGAGAGTCTCAGTCTGTAAAGCAAGAAGCAGCAGTGGGGCTCCAGGTTGCTCCACCCACCCACACCTCGAGCACCCCTCTCCTGCCCTGCAGACCTGCAGACCTGCTTCCCCCTAAACCCCCATCCTACCCCTTCCCCAACTCACACCCCACCTCTTCGTGGGCCATCCCAGCCTTAGTGTGTGCGCACCAGTATTAGTAAGAGGGTCTGAGGGTCCCGCCACCTAGGCTGGGACCTGCGTGCCCTCCCATCCCCCACACTGGCCACACTCTTCCCAACATGTCCTTGGCCTCATCCCCTGCCGGGCGTCCTGGATTGGAGCTGGAGATCCCTTCCTTCTCTGCCACAACAGACGGGACAAGGCCCCAGTGCCCTGGACACTGAGGGGCGCGCTTGTGTGAGACGTGCACCCAGAACCCCACGGTAACTTCAGGGAGCAGGGGCGGGAATGAGGCAAGGATCTTTCGGTGCGGGCTTACCCGCGCATCCAGGCTGTAGGCCGTCTTCCGCAGGTCCTGCAGCGCGCGCTGCATGAACTCGAACGCGTGGCAGTCCACGCACGGGCGGCCTGCGGGCGCGGGCAGCGTCACCCCGAGATCCATTGAGCGCCGGAAGACGCCCCCACCCCTACCCAGTTCCCTCTCGGTGTGCCCACAGTTCCCAGGAACAAAGGCGGGTGGGACCACCGGCACTTACTCTGCGCAGGGACCGCGCTCCCAACCGAGGGCTCCGCGCGGGCGCCCAGCAGCACCACGCTCAGCAGCAGGAGCAGCAGCGGCGGCGGCGGCGACAGCAGGGACCGGTATGCGGGCGAGGGGGCCATGGCCGAGGAGGGACCCGGGCCGCCCTGCAGCAAGCGGGTCAGCGACGCGCGTCTGCCGTTCCGGCCCGCCGGCCCCGCCCACTTCTCGCCGCGGTCCGCCTCCCCCGACACGCCCACCCCGGCCGGACCGCGGCTACCCACTCGCAGACCCGGAGCCCGGCCCGCCCCACGCCCCTCCCGCGAACCCCGGACGGCCCAGGGCCCACCCACCCCTGTGCCACCCATCCCGGGACCCTGACACCCCCGGCCCGCCCAGCTCCGCCCCAGTCCCGGCCCCAGCCCCCCCGAACCCCCCCAGGCCACCCCAGCTCTGGAGCAGCCGCCACCCAGCCGCGGCCCACGATGCGGGCCGCAGCGCCCGCCCTCACCTCGGCTCGGCGACCCCGCGAGCAGCAGCCCGGCGACTCAGATGACGCACCGCGACGGCGCATGCGCATGCGCCCTGCCGGACCGCGCCCGCGCCCACCACGTTGTCAGGGCAACCCGGCTCGGCTGGCGCGGGGTGGCTGGGATGCTCCGGGTAGGCACCGAGCAGAGCCTAAGTAATGGGTCCGACCGGTCCCGGTGCACCGAGGTCAATGCGCGACCTTCCCTTCTCGCCTCCCGTGTGACCTTAGTGTCAGCCAGCCTCTCGGTGTCCCCACGCAAACGTACGAGGTTGCTGGCCTGGAGAGACTTGGGCTCCCGTGGGCACCGATGAGCACGACCTCGCATCCTCCAGGCGGGCGCATGTGGCCGTCCCCCTCCCCGCCGTCGGGCCCACCCTGACCCCTGCGCGACGCCCAGGGCCGCGGGATCCTGAGCCCTCTGCCCTCTCGCGGCCTCCCCGCCTCCGGCGGCTCCAGATCCCGGCCCCACCCACCCGCCATCCACCACGAGTTCCGGTGCCATCGTTGGAGTCAGGCGAGAGTCCTAGGGCGCCACTGCCCCAGGCCCCGCAGGGAGTGAGAGCTTTGGCCACCAGACCACGGAGGGCTAGATCATGGGCGTGAGGCTGGGCAGGGGGAAAGTCCAGGCCACCGAAGTCTGGGTGTCCTCCCACTGTCCAGGGTGGCCCCAGACCTCAGGGGACGCCTCCATCCGGGTTTCGTTCTTCCCTCGTGGAGGCCCTCGGGGTGACTCTTAGGGGGAAGGAGTGGGCTACTGGGTGCAGGAGAAAGGTTGCTCTCTCGCCTCCCAAGATGTGGCGACCCAGCTGCGCGTTTGGGCTACAAGTGTCCACACAAATATTGTCTAGTGAGTGCCAGGGGGCTCCCCAAGGGGATCCTGGCAGTCTCTAAGCCCTTGACCTCTCAGGAAGGGAGTGGCCAGGATCTCTGGGGACCCCAGGGAAGTCGGGGGCTCTGCCCTGTAGGTCCAGAACACACCTGAGGACCTACTTAGGGGGCATACGCTTCCATAGACGACCCAACCCAGAACCTCCAGCCCTGAACCCTTTTCTCAAAAGGAAAGGCATCGATATTTCTTCAGTCCAGGAATCCACAGAAAGAGAGGCAGCAACTCTGACGTCAGGAGTTCAGGGCAGGGGCCCGGGAGATGGCTCAGGAATAAGCGCTTCCCTGGCAAGTGCAAGGGTCGGAGTTCAATCCCCGGTTCTGAAAAAAAAAAAAAAAGGAGTTCAGGGCAGGAGGCTGGATGGGGATCAAGATTGCCTATGGGCATCTTGGAACACCCAGCTGAACTGAATCAGCGTGGTGCTGGGTGTGGAAGGCCCACCTGAGCATCGTGGCTGACAGCATAGAAAGAGAACTGGAGCGGAAGATGGCGCGCTGATTCTCCTAGAGAAGCTTATTGGCTGGCTTTCCTGATGGGAATTTTGCTGTTATCAATGGAGGAGCGCTGGTCCTTACCTTGAGTGTCGCTTCCTGGATCCAGTGCAGATCCCTCAGCTTGCTGGCACAGATCCTTTATCCCACTGGTGCAGGCTTTTTAGCTTTTACCTCTGCCCTGCACTGGTGCTTGACACAGACTGGCATGTCGTCTTCGTAGGCTCCAGGCCTCTGGCTGGACTGTGTAGTGTTGGGACCCACAAATTGACAGTAGCTGGTTTTGCATACTTCTCTAAGGGATAAATGAGATTTGGGATTATTGGTATTACCCTTGTGAGACTTCCCATTATCGCATAGGCGTGGGCCACCCTGTCCCACCTACTAACCCAGAGCAAGGGCCTCATTGCTTTTAGATCACCGCCTCCCTTTGAGTCATCTGATAATTCCCTCCACAATCAGCCAGAATTCTGGCTGCCTCATGCCCGCGAACAGCTGGTCATCCTAGAGCCCATTGCTTGCCTGTTGTTTCTTGTTGTTTCTCTTACTTTGCACTGTAACCCTTAGAAGGAGACTGGGGGCTCCCTGCAGGGCTCTCTGCTAGTGCCTCACCGTGGTGGGATCGGGGCCCTCCGCTGGATCCTTCGGGTCTCCAGTGTGTGGGCACATGTCCTGCACTCTTCTGTATTTGACTCTTTGGGTGAATACTATAAAATAAGCCTAGAAATTATGTGTCTTTATTTGATCTATTCCTTTGAAATGCCTGACTACAACGGAATGGAAAAATATAGTGACTGCTTCAACTTTCTTTTTTTTTTTTTTTTTTTGAACCAGGGATTGAACTCAGGCCCTTGCACTTGCCAGGGAAGCGCTTATTCCACTGAGCCATCTCCCCAGCCCCTCAACTTTCTTCTTTTTTTTTTTTTTTTTAAACAGGGTCTCACCATGCAGTTCAGGCTGTCCTTGAACTCACTTTGTAGTCCAAGTTGGTCTCGAACTCATGGCTACCCTTCTGCCATGGCCTCCCAAGCCCTGGAATACAGGTGTGCACTACCGCGCCCAGCTGAATGCTTCATTTTAAAAAATATTTATTACAGTGAAAAAAACATTGCCATTAATTCCCTTCTTACCTTCAGCACACTTGTCTCATGGTTCTTGCTACTTTTTGAAGCTGTTCTGGAAGTTCTCTTTCATGTGTAGCTGTTGGGGCTGCCTTGAAGTCCTGACCTGATTCAAAGTATTTCCCTTTCAGCTGTTTTGACTTTGGAAAAGAGGCGGAAGTGCACAGTGTCACCAGGATGAATCAGATGGGGGGCGACCAGATAGCCCAGCAGACTGCTTAGGCAGATGCAGGGACTGGGGCTCAACCCCTGGCGTGCCGTGCCGGCCCTGCCCCCCGGGACTCGCTGAGAGGTGATTGAGACTGGGCGTGGTGGCGCATGCCTGTAATCCCAGCGCTTGGGAGGCTGAAAACAGGAGGGGCACTACAAGTCTGGTCTGTGTAGTGAGACCCTGTAGACCCTGTACTAAATACATTTTTAAAAAGGGATATACAGATGGAGGAAGAAAGGTCATATTTCTATGAGACTCCCCTTCTGTTTGATGGCACTCACAGCATTATTCACTGTAGTTTTTATCCCACCTTGAAAAGAGAACTTTCAGAGTCAGGGATATAGCTCAGCAGCACAGCGCCGGCCTGGTGCACAAGGCTGTGCGTTCCATTAGAAAGAGAACCAGGGGTGGTGGCGCACGCCTGTAATCCCAGCACTGGAAAGGCTCACGCAGGAGGACTGTTACAAGTTGAGAGCAGCCTGGGCTACAAAGTGAGCTCAGGACCAGCCTGAACTGCACAGTGAGACCCCGTCTCAAAAAGATAAGAAGAAGTGGACGAGGAGGAGGAGGAGGAGGAGGAAGAGGAGGAAGAGGAAGGAGAAGAAGAAGAGGAGGAAGAGGAAGAAGAAGAGGAGGAAGAGGAAGGAGAAGAGGAAGAGGAGGAAGAGGAGGAAGAGGAGGAAGAGGAAGGAGAAGAGGAAGAGGAGGAAGAGGAAGGAGAAGAAGAAGAAGTCATTGACAACTTCCAGGACTTCTCCAGAAAGTGGCAAAAACAATGAAAATGAAGCAAAGGTGGGGAGTATTTCAAGGGGGATAATGGCAATGTATCTCTTACTGTAATTTTTACTTAAGCATTCAGTATATTTTATTGTATCCTGTAAACTGCATGGTTATTTTTGCAGTACTAGGGACCAACCCAGGGCTCCATGAGTTCTAGGCACTCTACCACTGAGCTGCACCTCGGTGGAGGCCACCTGAGCAGCTGTTCTTGGAAGAAGAGCGACTGTCCCCACCTTGGCTGAGCTCCAGATCCCCAAAACGTTAGACACTGTCTCAGGAGCATAATGCAAATGACTCTGCACGTGGCAGAGGCAAATGCAGGCAGGTACCCAGCCCAGCTCACAGCCCTCACCTGCTCCCCGCAATTCTCAGTCACTCCTCCTCAAGGCACTCCTCCTCCACAGAATAAAACCCGGGTGCGGACCTGGGTCAGCCTCTTTGTTCCGGAAAGCCATCTTCATGGCTGGCCTTAGGGCCCTTTGGCTCCCCGTAATTATAGATATGTTTCAGTGTCTTTACTTTCACCATGGGTTGCACTGGGAGTGGTAGATTGGAATTAACTTGATGGGATTCCAATAACATATCTTTGGGATTACAAGTATTGGCTTCTTGGACCGAGACCAGGACCTGGAGCGGACTCCTACATACCCCCTCCCCTAGCCCAACCTATTCTGACAGCTGAGTACACTTGCTCACATTTCCACCCCTCCGCCTCTTCCTTCTTTGACTGCAGGTTTGTACTTCCTGTTTCATAAAAGCAGACATCTTTTTTTTTTTTTTTTTTGTATTTTTTAGGGAAAGGTCTACAGAGTGTTCAGGGTCTTACTACTAGATTGGACTCGTAGTGATCTGCCTGTTTACAGCCTCCCAAGAGCTGGGGTTACAGGCACAAGCCACCCGGACATCTATTTTTCTGCCACTCTTTGAATCAGTTTAATTAGTTTGAGGTCTGTTGCTATTGCACGTATCAGTGGCTCATTCCTGCCTCCTGGAGGGAAGGATTTCTCCCCCATTTCCTTGTGCATTCACCTGTTGGTGGGCACTGTGGTGGTTTCCAGGACTTCGTTGTTAATGGAGACAGCAGCTCTGGCTGGTCGCGAACAAGTCTGTGTGCACGCCTGCTTTTATCCCTCTTGGCAACGGCCTTGGCTGCAGGGGAGGGGTCGCTGGATAGGTGCCTGTTTCACTTTCAAAGAAACTGCCGCCTTTCCGGCGGTGATGACCTCCCCAGGAGAACATGCCTCTCGCAAAAGATCTCCTTCATCCCTCTCCGGAAGAGGAGAAGAGGAAGCACAAGAAGAAGCGCCTGTGCAGAGCCCCAGTTCCTACTTCACGGACGTGAAGCGCCCAGGATGCTATAAAATCACCACGGTCTTTAGCCATGCGCAGATGGCAGTTCTGTGTGGGCTGCCCCACTGTCCTGTGCCAGCCTACAGGAGGGAGAGCAAGGCTCACAGAAGGACGTTCCTTCAGGAGGAAGCAGCACTGACAGTACCTCAATCCAGATGAATGGGAAGCCATCCCAATAAACACATTTTGGATATATATATATATAAAAAAAGAGGGGCTGGTGAGATGGCTCAGTGGTCTAGAGCACCCACTTGGAACAAGCTTAGCAAAGCACAGGGACCGCGGTTCAATCCCCC